TTTTTTTTTTTTTTTTTTTTTTTTTTTTTTTTTTTTTTTTTTTTTTTTTTTTTTTTCTTCAATTGAAAAAGTTCCAAAATGTGTGTACACGGCAAAAATAAAAATGCATAAAAAATATTCATAGGCACGTGAAAAGTCCATGCCAAAGATTTTGTCCTTCCTCGATTGCTTTGTTTGTTCCTGTTAAAGTATAAAAAAAAACTCGATTACGTACACCATTGACTCGATACTCGATATACCAACACGAAATCTCCCGCAGAAGTAAAAAACACCCCAATGCACGTATGTACACCTATACGTGCCTAAAAAAAAAAGGGAAGAAGAAGAAAGAAAAAAAATGCCCTGCCCGACTGACACAAATCGCGACGATGAACACGCAAGAGAGAGAGAGAGAGCTCTAACCCAGATACAGGCACAAGAGAGCCGAGTGGTTCTTTCATCGCGGCCGCGTCACCCCCTCCCTCCTCCCTATACACATTAATCTAGCCCTCGATACACGACAGCACAAAGTAGCTGAAGAAAGAGGAGGTCCATCAGCGTCATTACGCGCATCCCCCGTCAGATGTATGCATATATATATATATGTGTGTGTGTGTGTGTATGATAATATGGCGGTGTGTTGCGTGAACAACAGGTGTCCCCGAGCCGGCGCTGCCTGAACCAGCTCGACAGCTGATCGGAGCCGCACAACCAGACGGACCGACGCCGTTGCAAGAGCAGCTGGAGGCGGGCCCCCGTGTCGTTTCGAGGGCAACTTGGGCCGGCCAGGCTGGAATCGGGGGTGATGGTGTCGGCACGGCTGCTGCTGCCATCGTCATCGTCAAAGCATCGGGTCTAGCGGTATCATAGTCACGGGTCGCAGGAGGCGGTGGAGGGACCGGGTCGAGAGCGCGCTCGTATGGTGTGCGCCGCGCGACCCCAAAACAGCTGTTGCAGCTCTCTCCCTCGAGGAGGAGGTGGAGGAGGTGGACGAAGCAGCCCGGCATCATGGTCAAGACTTTTCAGGCTTACCTGCCGTCCTGCCACCGCACCTACTCGTGCATCCACTGCCGCGCTCACCTCGCCAATCACGACGAACTCATCTCTAAGGTATGCCACTGTCATTCACTTTTTTTTTTTTTTTCTTTTCGTCGCCGGTCAAGCCTTGAGAGCGGTTTGTGATTTTTTTGGGGGAAATTGAGTTATAGGATTTCCTTTGTGGGATATTTCGATGTGAACTTGCCTTTTTACGGCTCGAGGGAAGGAAAAGAGAAATTGTTTATCGTAAACTTTGAAATGAATAAAATATTCAAACCATTCAAACTGAACGAAAAAGTGAATTTTCTTACAATTATTATGTGTTAGCAACAATTACTCGGTATAATTAGATATCCGTCTCGGTAAAAAAACGGAAGCCAAAAAAAAAAAAGTCACTCGCACATGTATACATATATAGGGCATTCGGATTTAACAAGTAGTAATAGCCGCTACTCGTCAGACACTCGACTACGCGAGTGCATTGTGTGCACATTATCATAACATTTCATTAAGTTTGACCGCGTTTTTTCTCCACCACCAGCTCGCGCACACAGGCAACTGGGTTAAATTTTCTTTTTTCCCTTCTACCCATTCTCTGATTTATAACGATGCTCTTTCGCTTGCTACGAATTTTAAATGGCTCTTACACGATGATGATGATTCTTTTCTTTCCTTCCTCTGCTGAAAACCAACTCAAACATTTGGAAACTTTCTCTACTCATCGCTTGCTTTTCATTAGAATATCATACAATTAATTCCCAAAACCTACTTATGCGTGATATTGTTCTTTTTCAGTCTTTCCAAGGAAGCCAGGGCCGCGCCTACTTGTTCAACTCCGTGTAAGTGAATTACATTTTTGTTTTTCCTACCCCTTTTGTCGCAAAAAAAAAANCGATTTCGTTGTAAGATGTTTTGAAATAACTATCTTTTTCAGACCAAACTTTGAGATGTTCTTTTAGTGGTACATGCAATTGAAAGTAGTTAATCAATGCATGATGACATTTTACATCCTTATGCAAAGACCCATGCATTGTGTATGTCAATATTTCATTAGTTTGTGATATTGTCCAGACAGAACTGTTGAAAACACCTCTGTAATTATTTCCATTTTTCTCCATTGTCCACCTTTTTGTAAACACAATATTATGTCATTAAAAAATTACTAGCTTATTGAAATTTTATCATAAAATATTTGTGTAAGAGAAGATTACAATTCATTCTTTATAAACAAAGTAACTTTTGATTAATAAAAAATAACGTAGTTGGTGAAAACGCAAGTATAAGGTGACAAAAGAAAAAGCACGTTTGACACAACCTAGTTTTAAATATTGATAGTGATTATAAATTACCGAAAACTTTGCCCTCCTTTTAAAGTAACTCCGAGATTAAGTTCTTCCTTGGTACAAGGTATAGAGCCGCTAATCTTTTTCATCTCCACACCACATTTTACTGGCACAGTCATTGTTGACACAAATTTCCAACTGAAAAATAATCTTAATTCGATACTGGCGACCATTAACAAATTCGACAAATAAAACGCTATACTTAACCAATGTAAACTAAATCAAAGCACTACAATTCAACCCGTTCATGATGAATCATCTGTGTACCAACAAATTCAGCCGTCACATCGTAGCGTGAAAATACAATAACATACGAATATGATACACCTACTTATATGATTTTGAGCAAGATTTTTCCGTTGGTCTTAAATATAATACCCGTCAAAATGTTAAAAATTGGCGCCTATTATTGGAAAAGTTGACTGGTAATTTTCTCAAGGATTTCGAAGGCTAATTTTTTACTGGGGAGAGTGGCTAGACTCTAAGTAAAATTTTTATAAGCCATATGAGATGAGTAGAATAGTTATGGTTTTGGAGGTCGACTTTCGGGTATAAAATATATTGTAAACTTGCCGCAAAGACCATAAGTAATGTCAACTATTTATCGTCAATTTATAAGATTATTGGCGGCTGGTTTATAATTAATAAAGTGACTTTACTGTAAATAGCAATAATTATTTGGATCAGCGCCATCTAGCGGTCGTGATTTTTTGGCCAAAAATGGCTCCTAAAATTCTCAATCAGAGCAATCAGGATTAGAGCCACTTAGTTAATTATAAACCAGCCGCAACTTATGATGAAGCTATAAAATGAAAAAATAACAGTACATGTGTTTTTGGCGGCAAGTTAACAATCTATTTTCTACCAAAAAATCGACCTCCTATGTATTTTTACTTTTGAAAATGAATTTTCGAATAAATATAAATTGTTAACTTGCCGCCAAAAACACATGTATTGTTATTTTTTCATTTTATACCTTCACCATAAGTTGCGGCTGGTTTATAATTGACTAAATGGCTCTAATCGTGATTGCTCTGATTGAGAATTTTAGGAGCCACTTTTGGCCAAAAAATAAAGACCGCTAGATGGCGCTGATCCAAATAATTATTGCTATTTACAGTAAAGTCACTTTATTAATTATAAACCAGCCGCAAATAATCTTATGAATTGAAGATAAATAGTTGACATTACTTATGGTCTTTGCGGCAAGTTTACAATATATTTTATACCCGAAAGTCGACCTCCAATTCTTTCATCGTTGAAGAAAGAAAATGGTTCAACTTATGATAATGCCCGAGAGAATCTCATGTCTTTGCCTGGAATTGGCCCTAAAGTAGCCGATTGTATTTGTCTAATGTCGCTCGGCCACTTGGAAGCAATTCCCGTTGACACTCACATATTTCAAGTTGCCTGTGCCAACTACATGCCTCATTTAGGTAAGCAAAAAACTGTCACTCCAAAAATTCATCAAGAAATAAACTCCTATCTACGCGAGATGTGGGGCCCTTTAGCTGGCTGGGCTCAGACTATTGTGTTCTGTGATAAAATTAATTCAACTGACAAAAGGAAAAACAAAAAGCGCTCTGTGCCTACAGAAGACAGTGTTAAAAAAAAATGTGTTAAAACCAAAAACTTCTATAGATTGGTGAAACCGTAGTTTTCTACTCTTTTATACGAAAATTTACCTCCAAAAGTGTAAATATATAGGAGGCCAATTTTTTAGTAATCTTTAAAGCCTAGAGCCATTTTATCAATTATAAACCAACCGCAACTAATTTTATAGACGTAAATTAAAAATTTCACGAAGTTTGTGCTATTTGCGGCAAGAGTAGAATTTATGTTTGACCCAAAAATTGACCTTTTTATGTACTTATACTTTTTCGTTTTATTTACTTACATATTTATAGATTTTTAGGTAAGTAATAGATTGAAAACTTGCTGCAAACTAAGCGGTCTACTTAAACTTGCCCTTTTAGTTTTTCAGATCAGTTGCGGCTGGTTTATAATTGACTAAATGGCTCTAGGCCTTAAAACTCTGTTTAAGAATTTTAGAGGCCACTTTTTGCTCAAAAA